AGGTGAGGACTTTAGCCACTAGGCTACGGCGCTGAGCCAGTATGTAACTCTTTTAATTAGATAAATATAACTTCAAAAAAAAAAGTGAGGGCCTCCAAATACCATCAACAACCTCTGCTGAAACACAGGGGAAATGACAGCGATGCAAAGAGAAGCACGTCTTTGTGGGGGAGGCTGCAAAATGTACACCCAGTTGCTGTTCCCCACTTGCGCAAATTAGCCTGGATGTCCCCAGGAACTGAGAGCCCATGGCCCAGGCTGGGATAGAAAATCATTTTTCTCCTGGTTCTCCGGGGGATGATGCCGCCCTCTAGAGGACATTGTGGAAATGTTGACAGAAATGAAAGTGACTTTCTGCAGAGGATAGTATGAGATAGGGAGAAAGCCAGCTAACAGGTTCCACGGTGTAATGCTAATAATGAAGGCTCTTTTCATGAGCAAAATTACTGACAGCTGCCAAATAATAGGACTGGAGCCGGCATTGTGACACAGCAAGTTAAGTGGCCACTTGCAAAACCAGAATCTCCCATTGGAGTTCTGGTTCAACTCTTGGCTAATCTGTTCCAGTCCAGCCTCCTGCTGCCTGGGAGGCAGCGGGTCACGGCCCAAGTGCTTGGACCCTCGTCATCCTTTTAGGAAAACTGGCTAGGGTTTCTGGTCCTTGACTAGGAGACCTGGCCCACCTAAACCCTAATTGTGATCCTTTGGGAATTAACTTAGCAGACGGAAGACCTCTGTGTATCTCTCCCTCTCTTTCTCTAATTCTTCCTTTCAAGTAAAAGAAATCTTTTTTTTTTATTATTTTTAGGTAACAGCTTTGTTGAGATGTAATTTACATACTAAAAATAGAATCCTTGGAAGTATAGAGCTAAATGGCTTAAAGAACTTCATGCATTTTCAGTTGAGAGGCAGGTGTGGATCCAAAACCACAAGCTTGCTGCGGGTTTCCCACGTGGGTGCAGGGGCTCAAGGTCTTGAGCCATCTGCTACTGACTGCTCTCCCAGCACATAGGCAGGGAGCAGCATTGGAAATGCAGCAGCTGGGACATGAACCGGGGCCCAGCAGGGATGCTGGCACTGTGGGCAGAGGATATTGTTCCCAGAAATGCCCATGGGTGGGGGGGTGTTTCTTTCCTCTGTTCAGTATAGAAATAAAAAGCCGGGAATCTGTTGCAGACAGAAAAGTGTATTTGCAAAGGGACCAGGTGAGGAGGGAAGGGGGCGGGAGAGGGAATGAACTTCCAGAGAGAGAACGGCCAGAGCTAGCCAATCTGAAGCCAGGAGCTTCTTCCTGCCCTCCCACGTGGTGTGATCTTCTGTCAATTTCCCAGGCCATAAGCAAGAAGCTGGATAGCAAGTGGAGCAGCCAGGATTCAAACCAGCGCCCATAAGGAAAGCTGATGGCACAGCTGCTGGTGCCATAGCTGCTACATCACTGTACTGGCTCCAGCAAGGCAGAGTTACAGAGAGAGTTTAATCTCACTAGTTCACTCCGCGGATGGCTGCAGTGCCTGGGCTGGGCCAGGCTTAAACCCAGAACTCTGCAACTCCATCTGGGTCTCACACATGGATGCATGGACCCAGTGTACGACACTGGCCTCACCTCCTCCTGCTTCTGCTTGATGTTGAACAGCTTATTACAAAGGACATAGATAGAGCCCGGAGCGATAGCAAAGTGGTTAAGGTCCTCGCCTTGAACACGCCCAGGATCCCATATGGGTACAGTTTCTAATCACGGCAGCCCAGCTTGCCATCCAGCTCCCTGCTTGTGGCCTGGGAAAGCAGTCGAGGACGGCCCAAAGCCTTGGGACCCTGCAGAGGAGGTGTTGGAAACCCAGAAGAGCTCCTGGCTCCTGGGTTTGGATTGGCTCAGCTCCAGCCATTGCGCTCACTTGGGGAGTGAACCATCGGACGGAAGATCATGCTCTCTGTCTCTCCTCCTCTTTGTATATCTGCCTTTCCAGTAAAAATAAATACATCTTTTAAAAATAGTGAATAAAAAAATAAAAACAAAAGACACAGATGAAGATGGTCGTAGGGCAAGGCATGGACGAGGGGAGTGGAGCTTCTGTTCTTGCCATCCTCCTGGGACCTGGCAGGTGCTCAGTCCCATGGAGATGCGCCAACTGAACTGTGTGCCACCTGCTGGTCGGCAGGTCATCAGCATCAACAGCAGGACCATGGGCTAAGGTCTCCTTGGCTTAGCTCGTCTCAGCGCTACCTTGGGTCCATCCCTGTGTAGTCTGCCCTCTCACTGCAAAGAACAGAGGAAGCGGGACCCAGAATTCCCCAGGCTCAAATAACCTACAGGCAAATATATATTTTTTCCGTTAAATCAAGCTAAGTTTTTCATAACAACCATGTGATAAGACACAATTCAGTGGTTTCTAGAGCATTCGCTGTGTGATGACAATAACACCTTCATTTTCTTCCAATATATATATATTTGGAAAGGCAGAAAGGAGAAACAGATAAACATCTTTCATCTGCTGGTTTACTCCCAAAATTGCTGAAACAGCTGGAGCTGAGCCGATCTGAAACCAGGAGTCAGGAGCTTCATCCAGGTCTCTGACATGGGTGCAGGGTCCCAAAGGCTTGGGACATTTTCCACTGCGTTTCCATGCCATAAGCCGGGAACTGGATGGGAAGTGGAGCAGGTGGAACCCCATAGGATCTCAGTATTTAGAGGAAGAGGATTAGCCAGTTGAGCTATTGTATTGGAGCCATTCATTTGGATATTTTATTTGATTGATTGAGATTTCATCACAGACCTCATACAATATTTATCCTTTCGTGTCTGGCTCGTTAGCCGTGACAAAATGTGTTCTGGGCCACCTGTGAAACGATGTTGTGTGGCTGAGTAATAGCTCTGCTTCGGGCAGACTGGGCGTCACTGCTGGCGGGGTTGGCTGTGCCTACTGCGCTTGGAGTTGCTGTGGTCATTACTGTTCATTCTTTCATTTCCCTCCTCCCTCCCTCCCTTTCTTGTTCCTTCTTTTCATCCTTTTTTTTAAGATTTATTTATTTTGATTGCAAAGTCAGCTATACAGAGAGGAAGAGAGACAAAGAGGAAGATCTTCCATCTGATGATTCACTCCCCAAATGACCACAACGGTCAGTGCTGTACCGACTGAAACCAGGATCCAGCAGTCTCTTCCAGGTTTCCCACGCAGCTACTGGTCCCAAGGTTTTGGGCTGTCCTCGACTGCTTTCCCAGGCCATAGGCAGGGGATGGGAAGTAGGGCTGCAGGATTAGAACTGGCGCCCCTATGGTGCTTTCAAGTTGAAGATTTTAGCTGCTAGGCCACAGTGCTGGGCCCCACTTTTGATCTTATAGCTGAAGGCCAAGCACAGATTTTACTTTAATTATTAATTAATTAGTTAATCTTATTTATTTAAGAGAGAAAAGGTGATAGGTAGGTTGGTAGATAGATAGCTGCCGCCTGTTGGTTCTTTTCCCAAATGTCCATGATGGCCAGGGGAGAGGCAGGCTGCAACCAGGCACCAAGAATTCCCTCCAGGTACCCCACGGGTGAGATAGGAGGCCCATCGCCTGAGCCATGGTAACTGACTTCCATGGGTCTGTCTTCGCAAGAAGCTGGAGTCGAGAGACTGCAGTGTGGGCCACTGGTGTCTTCATCACTAGACTAAATGGCCCGTCCCCTGGCTACCTTTTAGAATCAGCTGGGGAGCATTCGGTGAAAATCCCGAAGTCTCTGATCCTCTGCACAGCAATTAATCAAAGCCTGTGCAGGGGAGGGAGGGCCTGGCAAGGTCCCTGTGGGATGCTGCTGTGCAGGAGCAGGTGCACAGGAGGGGAGCTGGAGCAGGGATGCTGCGGATAAGTGCTCTTCCTCAAACCGGGGACTGGAGTTGCTCCTCACCCTGCTTTTCTTATAGTCTTAATTTGGCAAGGGTGCTAATTAGCTGTTACTAAAAATCCCACCCTTTGAGATATATATATATATAGATATGCGATTTATTTTATTGGAAAGGCGGATATACAGAGAGGAGAGACAGAGAAAGATTGCAGAGGAGTTGGAACCAATCTATCTCCCATAGACACCAAGACAAGTCTGTTTACGATATTTTTAAGATTTATTTATTTTTATTAAAAAGTCAGATATACAGGGCCCGGTGCGGTGGCGCAGTGGTTAAGGTCCTCGCCTTGCATGCCCGGGATCCCATGTGGGCGCCAGTTCTAATCCCGGTGGCCCGCTTCCCTTCCAGCTCCCTGCTTGTGGCCTGGGAAAGCAGTCAAGGACAGCCCAAAGCTTTGGGAACCTGCACCCGCGTGGGAGACCTGGAAGAGGCTCCTGGCTTCGGATCAGCATAGTATCGGCCGTTGCGCTCACTTGGGGAATGAATCATCGGACGGAAGATCTTCCTCTCTGTCTCTCCTCTCTGTATATCCGCCTTTCCAATGAAAAAATAATAAAAATAAAAATCTAAAAAAAAAAAAAAAAAAAGATCTTCCATCCGATGATTCACTCCCCAAGTGAGCGCAACTGCCAGAGCTGGGCAGATCCGAAGCCAGGATCCAGGAACTTCTTCCAGGTCTCCCACATGGGTGCAGGGTCCCAAGGCTTTGAGCCGTCCTCGACTGCTTTCCCAGGCCACAAGCAGGGAGCTGGATGGGAAGTGGAGCTGCCGGGATAGAACTGGCGTCCATATGGGATCCTGGGCACGTTCAAGGGAGGACTTTAGTCGTTAGGCTACTGCGTCGGGCCCACGTCTGTTATTTTTCATGGTAAATTCCATGAAGACAGCATTTTTCTGCCTAATTAATTATTTCCTTGCTTCTCCACCCTTCCCAAGCCAGGGTCTCCGCAGACGCGCTCGTCAATACACCCAGGACCGAAGCGCCATGTTTTCTTCCAGGATTGGCTGGAGCCTCCGTCACGTGACGCACAGCTGCGTGACCTGCCCGGCGGTTCCCCGAGGCTCACGGGAGCCAGTGCGCAGGCGCGGCGCCTCCGCGCAGGCGCAGACACCGCCCTCGCGTTGGGCAGTTGGCGGCGCGCTTGGCCGGCTGGTTGTTGGCGGGAGCGCAGCGCAAGCAGCGCCATGGTGGAGAAGGAGGAGGCCGGCGGCGGCATCAGCGAGGAGGAGGCCGCGCAGTATGACCGACAGATCCGCCTCTGGGGCCTGGAAGCCCAGAAACGGTCAGGGCCGCAGGGGGCTGGAGACGCCGCCTTGGTGGCGCGGAGGGGGCGCGTTGGGGTGGACAGGCCTCTCCCGGCGGCCTGGGGGAGTCGCCTGAAGATTCCACTTAGGGCTCGGACGCCCCGCAGGAGTGACGGCAGGTTTGGGGGGCTGGGAGGGCATCAGGGTGCTTGGGATGAATGATGTGGGGGGCGCGGGGAGGCATAAGTCATTCATTCATTTCTCCTTGGTGCAAAGTGGATGCTGAGAGACTCGTGGAGTGTTGAGCTTACTCCCTGGAGGGGGGCGGGCCCGCTGGAAGAATGAGGCTTTCCAGGCGTTTCTGAGCAAGATCCCTCCAGTGGGCCTGTAGAGAGTAAAGGATGGACGAGTCTGGGGGTGGGGTGAAGATGTGGTACCGGAAGAGGTTGCCCAGAACCCCCCTGGAAAAGGAGGGGTTGGGTGTTGGGGAAGGCGTGTCATGTCTGGTTCATGCAAGTGCTTGGGAGAAAACGAAAAGCAACCTGCAGCTCCGTGGAAACTGGAGAGAAGGGCGCTGTTGTGACGGGGCGGCCTGGTGAAGGCCCCTCTGGGAGGTGCCGGGGGCCCAGGACCTGTGGGGAGGTGCTGGGGGCCCAGGACCTGTGGGGGGGCCGGGGGCCCAGGACCTGTGGGGAGGTGCCGGGGGCCCAGGACCTGTGGGGAGGCCCGGGGGCCCACAAGCCGTCTGGCAGAACCCGGGCCTAGGGCACAGCTAACATAGAATGCTGCTAGTGCGCCAACGCCAGGGGCGTTGGGGCTTGGATATATGTATGTGTTTATCTGTTTTTATTGGAAAGATAGGTTTGCAGAATGAAAGATCTTCCTTCCACTGGTTCACTCTGCAAGTGGCTGCAGGGGCTGCAGCTGAACTGATCCGAAGCCAGGAGCCGGGAGCTTCTGGGTCTGCCACGCAGGCGCAGGGTCCCAAGGCTTTGGGCTGTTCTGGACTGCTTTCCCAGGCCACATGCGAGGAGGTGGGTGGGAAGCAGGGCCACGGAGATTAGATCCTATGTGGTGGCTCATATGGGATCCAGGCATGTGCAAGACAAGGACTTTATTTTTAAAGATTTATTTATTTTTATTGCAAAGTTAGATATATATGTAGGAGAAGAGACAGAAAGAAAGATCTTCTGTCCCATGATTTCACTCCCCAAGTGCGCGCAATGGCCAGTGCTGCCCCAATCTGAAGCTAGGAGCCAGGTGCTCCTCTGGGTCTCCCACACGGGTACAGGATCTCAAGGCTTTGGGCCGTCCTCCACTGCTTTCCCAGGCCACAAGCAGGGAGCTGGATGGGAAGGAGCAGCCGAGATACAAACCAGCACGCAGATGGGATCCCAGTGCTGCCAGTGGGGGATCAGTCTCTGTGCCACTGTGTCGTCCACTCTTTTATTTAGATCCTTGCTGCAGCACAGCTGTGTGGGCTGGACCTTGTGTTAGCGCCTGTGCAGGAAGATCGGCTCGGTGACCTTGGCACCCGTTTCACTTTGGCGTCCCAGATTTCCTTAGCAGTGACTCGTTTGATCTGGGTGTCTGAGGGTTGGTTCATGTTGGTGTTTGCAAGGTCGCAGACGCTAAGGTGTGATAACTGCCTCTGCAGGGGCTGTTTGCGCACTGGAGCGTTCCCTTACCCGAGACCAGCCTGAGTTGTCGCCTCAGTAGCACTCATGTGCCAGGCGCTGCTCCCGCCGCTCTGCAAGCCTTGATTTGTTTCATCTTCATGACAGCCCACAACGTTGGTTCCTCTCAGCTTCCCCAAGGTGGCCAGTGGCACAGTGAGTGCGAAAGGGAAGGCAGTGGCTGTTGCTGTGCTGTTGGCTGCCCAGGAGCCGATACGCCTTGGGTTGGCAGATGAACATTGAAGAACTGGCACCAGAGTCAGGACCGGCAGCCTTCCCTGGAGCAGAAGGGACACATAGTGCAGCTTCGAAGGGACGGGGCAAGGTACAAATATTTGAAAGCATAGAGAACCGTCCATCTGCTCGCTCTTGCCCCGCGTGGCTGCAAAGGTCAAGGCTGGGCCAGGCTGAACCCCAGAGCGCCGCAGGCAGGGACCTCACAGCCGGCCTGGCTGCTGCTTTCCATGTGCGCCAGCAGGAAACTAGACCTGAAGCAGAGCAGCCAGGCTGGGTTGGCACTGTCGCGAGATGTCGGCTTCACAGGCAGCAGCTGAACCCGCTAGTGTACCATACTGGCACCTGGCTTATGTGGTAAGGTCCCGCGGAGACGGGCCAGGGCTTGTGAGGACCAGGAATGGAAGCAGAGACAAGGGGCAAGCCTGGGGTTGTTTTTTAGTTGAGAAGTGGTGTGGCTGGCGGCTATGCAGGAGGAGCTGAGTGGTTGGACAGGGCTGCTCTGAGCTTAGTGCTGTGCAAGTTTTGTGTCCGCTGAGTTGTGTAGGGCAATTCCTAAAGGGAACTGCTACTGCAGGATGTCAGTAATACAGGCAGGAAGGGCCCATGGGGGCCCTGGTGAAGCTGTAGGGGGCTGGCCCCAGGACCCTGCCGAGGGGGGGGAGAAGTGATTCCAAAATTCCTTCTTGGACCCTGCGCCACTTCCTGCTTTGCCTTTCCCAAGGCTTGCAAAATTCGCACCGTCTGGTACTGCCAGCGAGATGTGACCTCCTGTGTCACCTGAGAACGTCACTCCTTCCACGCCCCTCGGCCCTCCCAACCTCTCACTCCTGCTGGACCGGCCTCTATAGTCACCGGTTCTTGGTGTGGGCCCTGGTGGTTGCCATGGTTACGGGAGGAGGGCAGAGCCCGCTTCCTGTCACTCAGACCTCCAATTGAAACCCAGAAGGGACAGCAGAAACCCAGCGCCTCCAGGCAGTGGAACCACCGCTGAGCCACTGACACAAGCCAGCATTCCTCACCAAATAAGGACCTAAGCGACACCTGCTTCGGCTTCCGTGTCAGGAGGCGTTGGAAACCCCTGCACGTTTCTTTCCTCGCCTGTTCCTGTTCCTCTGTAGCTCCTAACTCCATGTCTGTCTGTCGGCTTCACAGGGAAGAAAGGCCCATGTAAGGGGTTTCTTTGAATAAGGGCCGTCTATATTTTTCTATGCTTGGCTGATTTGTTCCTTCACAGATGGTTCCCTGACCAGGAATGGGGTGAGGGCTCCCTTAACTGGCGGAGCTCTCCTTTCTCTTAGACGTATGAGCCCACGGCCTCCAGAGACCCGATCTGTTCCTTCACAGGTGGTCAGTGAATCTAACAGTTTCCTTAGAAAGACTTTACTTAAGGGCCTGGCACAGTAACCTAGTGGTTTAAGTCCTCTCCTTGCAAGTGCCAGGATTGCACATAGATGCTGGTTCTTGTCCAGCTGCTCCGCTTCCCATCCAGCTCCCTGCTTGTGGCCTAGGAAAGCAGTGGAGGACGGCCCAAAGCCTTGGGACCCTGCAGGGGAGGTGGGGGCCTGTGTACTTCCCGAGGGCCTGTGAGCAGGGGAGGTGGAAGTCTTTCTTAGATTTGAGGTGTTGAGCTCTGAATGCATCCAGGCGGAGCTGACATCCTCTCCGTGTCCTGTTCTCTGGTGACCCAGCAAGCCACCTGCCTCTCACCTGGTTCCCTTGTCTGCCCCACAGGCTGCGGGCCTCCCGGGTGCTCCTCGTCGGCATGAAAGGCCTTGGGGCTGAAATCGCCAAAAACCTCATCCTGGCCGGAGTGAAAGGACTGACCATGCTGGATCACGAGCAGGTGCGGGTCATCGTGTCGCTTCCTCAGCGTGGGCCGTTCACGCTGCCGCCAGTGCTTGCTGTGTGCTGGGACGCGGCAAACGAGCTCACAGGGAGGGGAAATAGGATTACTTCTATCTCTCTGAATGCTTGTGAAAAGTATAAAGAAGTGGTCTTATAATATATGCCTAAAATCTCCTGAGTAGAGAAGGAATATTGGAAGTGTGCCCCCGCACCCCCGGACCTTGGCCCTCCCCGCCCTGTTTGATGGTCCTCATGGGCCTGCATTTTCGTTGACTGTGTGAACAACATCAACACCAAAATAAAGCCTAAAAAGAAAAATCCGAAGTAACTGACTGGGAAGGCAGAATTTCCTGTGGGCATTGTGTCACCTTCACTCCAGCATTCTTTTTTCTTTTTTAAATTTTATCTGTGCCCACAGCTCTGCGCCTGGGCCAGGTTGAAGCCAGCCCGGAAGTCAGGCTAGGTTTTCTGTGGGAGTGACACATTCTAGAGTCCGTGATCCATCGGCTGCTACTCCTCAGGGTGCCCAGGAGCAGGAAGCTAAAATTGAAAGCAGCGCCCGGATTGCAGCTGGGGCACCCAGGAGTGGGTGTCCCCCGGGGTGGCCCATGCACACGGAGCTGCAGGGGTCGGGTGCGTCTTTGGTGCCTTTGCCCACGTGGTGGGTGCCTACTCGGCTCCCACTGTTTGTGAGCAGTTAAGGATGTGCTTGTTTGTCTTTGTAAACACAAGGGGGTGCTGTTCAACCACCAGTAGCCTGGAAGAAAATTCAAGTCAAGTGTCTTAAAATTTTTTTTAAGTTTTCAAGATTTTGTCTTTATTATTTGAAACACAGAGCTACACATATGTAGAGATCCAGCTTCTGTCCACTGGGTCACTCTTCAAATGACCAGAACAGCTAGGACTGGGTCAGGTCCAAGCCGGGAGCTGCATCTGCCTCTCCCGCTGGAGCCATCTCCGGCTGCTTTCCCAGCAGATGCATTGGCAGGGAGCTGGATTGGAGGTGCAGCGGGTGGTGGTGTTGCCTGCTGTGCCACAGTGCTGCACCCCCCGCCCCCAGGGTCTTTCTATGGGGTGGGGGGGAAGGAAGCATGCCTTAGCACATTGTCACAGGAGCTGGCAACCCAGTTGGGTAGTCAGGCACACTATTGGCTTTGAGATGGATTTCCCAGAAAAAGTAAAGGATTAAGAAAAACATAAAATGCCCCCTAGGTCTCTCCAGAGGATCCTGGAGCACAGTTCCTGATTCGGAGCGGGTCCGTCGGCCGGAATCGAGCCGAAGCCTCGCTGGAGCGGGCCCAGAACCTCAACCCGATGGTGGACGTGAAGGTGGACACCGAGGAGTTGGAGAAGAAACCCGAATCTTTCTTCAGCCAGTTTGATGCCGTGAGTTCCCGTGGGGGTCAGGGAGCATTCTCAGCCTGAATTCTGAGCTTTTCCCCAGGCGCCACTTTAGGTGGCTCGGTCTTGGCTTGGGGTGAGCCGCGAGGCAGGGCCGTCTGTTGGGCTTGCAGGAGCTGCCCATGCCCGGTGTTGCCTGCTGGCTGCTTGCCCAGGCATCCGGCCCCCAGACCATCTTTCCGCACTGGCGTTTGTCTTCCTTCCAGGATCTTTGCACAGAGTGCCGATGATCTTATTGCAAATGTTTTCTCCCTGATGCTTCTGGAGTTGGTGATAACTTTAGCTGGTAGAGGCATATTTTGGGTTAGAAAAAAATCAAACTACAGATTTGTTTTGTCTTGAGCAAGAGCACACCTGATCTTGGTCTGCATAGATCTGCCTGCCTGTTTTACAGCCGCTGGGACCATGTTGCCATGGTTAGATAGACTCACTGTAGTCCTCATTGGGTTTCGTGACCAGGTCTGTGCAGAAGTGAAAAGACAGGTGCAGTTCCACGTGCGTGTTGGCCACGTAGTTTTCTGTGCACTGGGAAAGCTTACCAGATCTTGGCTGACTGGAGTAGTTGTGAGCGCCTTGGTTCCAGATGGTAGACCAGTCAGGTGAGTGGTTGGAATTGGAGTGGAGTGGCTTGTGTAGGTAGATTTCTTGTTCACATCTATTCAGATACAGTGTAGACTGAGGCATCGCCTGTGCTTTGTAACCTTGGGTACCACTGGGACGGTGTCCTGACTTCCTTGTCTGGCAGCCACATTGGGCATCTCAAGGGCTCCCTTGAACCTAGAGGATTGGAAGAGGGTTTGTTACGTCTGAAGCCCACGGCCAGTTGGTTGTATAATGCTGGCGGCTCCGTGAGCCAGGTTGGGGGTGTCCTGGCCCCACGGGGGTGCTGCACTGCGGGCTCCCCTCTGCTTTCTTGCCATTTCCGTGTGGCTGCATCCTCTGAGTGAGCTGCTTGCACCGCAGCAGAGGACCTCGCCCAGGACCACCTCGCTTCTCTGGGGAAAGCACTGCTGGGTGGAAGTTGTCTCAACCGGGATCCTCTGCAGAGTGCTTGGCCCATTTGCACTTGGCCATTTCCAGTTCCTCAACCCTACTGAGACAGAGCCTGGACGCCCGAGCCTCCCCGAGGAGCCCGCTCTGGGACAGAGCCTGGACGCCCGAGCCTCCCCGAGGAGCCCGCTGTGAGGGAAAGTTCATTGGTCCATGAGCTTTCCTTGTGTCCTTCCGTTCAGGCAGTTCCTGCTGAAATCTGAGACATGATCTCGGCAGGATTTTCTGATCTCCTTAACGTGATAGACTAAAGGGGAGAGGTGTCCTCGGGTTTAAGGATGACCTTCGGGTCAATTTAAACAACAACAACTGGCCTTGCCTCTCACTCTAGCTCATTTGGGTTTTAATAGATTTAATAGCTTCTCGGCCTTTTGGCTAAGATCAAGTGAGGATTTTAATAGGTTTAAGAATTTAGAAATAGCTTGTTAGGTTGTTGGTGTCTCTCTCTCTCGTGGACGTGTGGAATGTGCCTTATACACGCGCACAGGTTTGGAGGAACAGGCTCCTGCAGTGCTTGGCTCTCTGGCTGGGCACATCTTTGTTTTGGTCACAGAAAGTGGCAGTCTTGTCATTTACATTTTCCACATACTGAAACCTGCAACTTTTCTTCTGTCGTCTTCTATCCTTGGGCTCAGAGAACCTGTTGTGCCAGTTTGGAGCTGGCTTTCAAAATGCCCGGAGAGGGTGTGCCTGCTCGTTAGGAGGTGCGCGGCAGGCCGCCCCCTGCTCCCGCTGCTCCCGCTGCTCCCGCTGCTCCCGCTGCTCCCCCTGCTCCCCCTGCTCCCTGAGCTCACGCCGACCTCTCCTGCCCTCTCTGCAGGTGTGTCTGACCCGCTGCTCCCGGGATGTCATTGTTAAAGTGGACCAGATCTGTCACAAGAACAGCATCAAGTTCTTCACAGGGGATGTTTTCGGCTACCACGGATACACATTTGCCAACCTTGGGGAGCATGAGTTCGTGGAGTAAGTGCTGGGAGAACATTTCCAGAAGCTAGTTCTGTTTCCTGGTAGGAAAGGAACCCTTAAAGGAAAGCACAGGGCGGGGACACTGAAGTCGGCTCACCCCGCCTGGAGGTTCCTGCTGTGTGACGTGCGGCCCTGGCTCGTCTGATTCTAAAGCATGCAGACTTGTGGATGGAGAGTCTGAGAGTCTGAGAGTCTGGGCTTGGCACCGAGGCACGTCGGCCCTGGGAAGACTTGCTGGGTTTGTACACCTGGCTTCCCCAGCCTGGGTGGACATGTGTTCAGGTTGAAAGCTAGTCAAAACTACCAAAGGGTGAGACGGGCTGCCCCGTGGCCCAGTGAGCCCGAGGCTCCCTTGGCAGTGCTCCCAGGTCCAGGGACTGCCCAGGGGGAGAAACTGCCCTTGCCCTCTCGTGGAACACAGCGCCCGCAGACCTGGGCAGCTCTCACATGCCGGGGCCTGCCGGTTTGGGACTGGCAGCTGCTAGATGAAAGGTGACAGGTGATGGAGTATTGTAAAACTCTGAAGCTGGTGTTCTGGCTGCAGTTCCTGGAACTCCCTGCACCTTCCCCCTACTCGCTAATGAGAAGTAGAGTGAGGCCCTGCGTGGTGGGGTGGAGCTTCGAACTCCGAGCTGAACTTTCCTGCTCAGTTGGGTGGCACACTGAGGGCCACCCGTTTCTTGCCAGTGAAGCTGCGGCATCGGAAGGACAGTCAGGGTCCGGATATCTGCTAACGCTCCCGTTTTTATGGCCGAGGACCAATCTTGGGCACGTTGAAGATGGACAAGGAGGTCATAATAATGAAAAGTGGACCAGGGCCCAGCACCTTAGCCTAGTTGCTACACCCTCACCTTGTGTGCACTGGGGTCCCCTATGGGCTCTGGTTCATATCTTGGCTGCTTCACTTCCCATCCAACCTGAGGCCTGGGAAAACAGCAGAGGACGGCCCAAATCCTTGGGACTCTGTGCCCATATGGGAGACCCTCAGGAAACTCCTGCTCCTGTCTGCTGGTTTCAGACTAGCTTAGCTCCTGCCATTGGGGCCCCCTTGGGGAGTAAACCAGCAGACAGAAGATCTGTCTTTTTCTCTGTAAAATCTGACTGTCCAATAAAAACAAAGTCTTAAAAAAAAAAGCTGGAGCAGATTATTTTATTGTAACCTGCTCACAGCACAATGAGGAATTAAGTGTGGCTGTTTATTCTATGGCTCTAGGAGACTGTTTACAAAGGAATCACTGGGATTGATTGAGAACTTCTAGGTGTTGGGCAACAGGCTGGGCAGTTTATGATGTCTGGGAACTGACTTATCAGCTCTCTGAGCTGGCATTGGAACCCAGGTTTGTAGGACTCCAAAGCTTTGCTTGCCGTCTTATTTTGTGGTTAGTACTGCTCGTTTGTTCATTCCTCCTCTCTCTCTTTCTCCCTCCTTCCCTCCTTCTCTCTCTCTTTCATTCCTCCCTCCCTCCCTTCCTTCTGTCTTTTTTTTTTTTTTTTAATTTTAATGGCACGATTTGTTGATTCAGTCCCCTTGTCACCCTCTAGGGAGAAAACTAAAGTGGCCAAGGTTAGCCAGGGAGTGGAAGACGGACCCGATACCAAGAGAGCAAAACTGGATCCGTCCGAGACCACCATGGTGAAAAAGGTAGGAGCCTGTGGCGGTGGGAGGGCAGAGCTCGGGCGCTGGGGCTCGCCTGCCACCATGGGAGGTGCCAGAGGACACGGTAGGGCCTGGCTTGTGGCGAGGCAGCTGCTACTGCTAAGACGTGCAGGGCCAGGGCCAGATGTGGCTTTTAAGAGAAGCAACATGCAGGTTTTTCTATGAGCATTTTTGGAATGCTGGTTTGGGTGCTGTTGGCCAGACCCCACTGCTGACCTGGTTGTATGGAGTAATTCTAATAAGAAAAGCCTTTCCTTCGGGCAGTTGTCATCAGACATTCATGTTGTAAGGTGGTTTATGTTAGGATGAGGGCGGTAACTGAATTCCAGTTAGAGAAAGGACAGGGAAGGGTGGGCAGGGAGTCCTGTTAGCTGGGAGGCGGCCCAGGCGGCCGGCGCAGGAAAGGAAACCGAGTGGCCGGCGTTGGATTTGTCCAGTGAGGACGAGAACGGGATGCCAAGCCAGACTTACCACGCTGTGTGGTTGAGTGTTGGTCACAGCATGGCCTTGCAGCTGCTCGGAGAGGGGTTCCCAAGAGCGCAGAGACCCCAGAAACCCACAGGGGCTGCAGAGGGGAGAGGTTCCCAAGAGCGCAGAGACCCCAGAAACCCACAGGGGCTGCAGAGGGGAGGGGTTCCCAAGAGCGCAGAGACCCCAGAAACCCACAGGGGCTGCAGAGGGGGCAGCTCCATGCTCTGTGGACTTAATGTCGGAGTCGCGTGTGTGATGCAGAGATGTGACGAAGCTCTAATTTAGTGTCTGTTTATAGGGTCATAGGGAACATGGGTATTTTGGCCAAAACTTGGCTCCTTGCTTTCTTTTTTTTGTTTTTTTCCTTCCTTCCTTCCTTTATGAGGTTCCGCTGAGGCTTATCTGACTGGCTTTGTTGAGTTTGCGGGTGAGTGGGGGTGGGGTGGGAGGAAGGCGTGCAGAAGCAACTTCACAGGCCTGTCAGTGGGAATCACGCCCTCTTACAGGTGTGGGACTTGGCCCTGTGTGAAGGGCTCTGGCTTGAGGACCTGCCCTGATTGGGGTGGGTCTTCACATCCACTTGCCGGAGCCGGGACGGGCTCTACCAGCTCTGCACAGCTGGGCCTTCCTCTCCCGCCCCCCGCCCCCACGCCCGGGGTCCCGGGGAACCGCGTTGGCTTGCTATGAGGAGAATGTGTGCAGCCTCAGTGGACCACTCTTGCGGGCTCCGCTGCCACCACGTTCTCCGACGGCCCCTTCCTCCCGGGGGCCGAATTTGGAGGGATCAAAATATACCCCAGCTGACATTGTTAGTCAGCTGTTGAGCAGCTTAGCCCCTCAAGGTTGCCCAGCATTCAGTGCATTCCTGGTGACAGTGCCCCGGATGGCAGCCTTGTCGTCGTACCCTCCCCCGATGGTGAAGAGCTGGCTACTGCCTCGGCTCCGCTGCCTCTGAAGCTTCCGTAGGCCCTAGGACTTCTCTTCCAGTTCAGAATTCCTTCGTGTGATTCCCTCCTTCCTTTTTTTTTTTTTTTTTTGTAAAGATTTATTTGTTCTATTGGATAGGCACATATACAGAGAGAAGGAAAGACAGAGCGAGATATACAGAGAGAAGGAGAGACAGAAAAGTCTTCTGTCCACTGGTTCTTTCCCCAAGTGGACGCAACGACCAGAGCTGAGCCAATCTAAAGCCAGGAGCCTCTTCAGTGTCTCCCACGTGAGTGCTGGGTCCCAAGGCTTTGAGCCATCCTCTCTCTGTTGCTGTCCCAGGCCGCAAGCAGGAAGCTGAATGGGAAGTGGAGCCAGCCGGGTTATGAAGTGGTGTCCCTGTGGGATCCCGTCGGGTGCAAGGCGAGGATCTAGCCACTAGGCTACCACGGGCTTTGCATTGTGCAGAATAGTCAGGGTAGGCTCTGCAGTGCAGGGTGGGGGTGGCAGAGCAGCCATTTCCTGTTTCCTGTGACAGGTTTCTGGTTAGGGTTCCCTCCCCTCCCCCTTTTCCTAGGTTCAACCAGATATTGTAAAGCCACTTTGGCTTCAAGGTACACATTGTGCTCCTAAATTAGAAACATTAAAAAACAGAGGAAAAACAAAGCTTGTGGTTTTCACACCGTCTGGGAAGACGCCTGGCCTTCCTAGCACGCGCGCCAGAATGCGATAAGCACAGCAGTGGGGAAGTGGCCGGCGCTCCGAGTGGGACGCCCTGGACTTGGTTTGCTTCCTTTGGCACCTGGGAAGTCACGGGACAAGTCCCAGCAGCATCGGGTCGTGGTCAGCAGCCTGGCGGAGACGCTGATGGGCAGCAGATAAAGCAGAGCGGGGGGTGGAGCCACCCAGGCCCTGCGGACGGTGTGGTGTTTGAGTTGGCACCTGAAGGGCAAGCTTGCCAAGCAGCAAAGTCCAGACCAGTGGCCGGCAGAAAACAACAGGATAAGCTTCCTTCACAAACAGCCAGCTCTTTGTAGGACTTGGAAAATACCTACTGTGTGCAGGACACTGTAGTGGGTGGAGGGAGACCTGTCCAACTCTCAGCTCAGTTTGCAGCTGCCTGGAAAGTTAGGAGAGATGGAACGACCCGCCCCAGGTGCAGGGCTCTGAAGCAGGGGTGCGTGGGGAGAGCCCCTCCGAGGGCAGCCACTCGGAAGCCTGTGAGAGGGGATGAAGTGTTCGCACGTTGGCTGCGTTGTGCACGCCCGCAGGGGTGAAGTGCTGCCGCCGCTGCACTCCTCTCCCTGGGAGCTGGGAGGGACTGGGAGCTGGGGAGCTGGGTGCCGCGCGGTGGGTGACGCCGCGCGGTGGGTGGCGCCGCACGGTGCGCACTGCCCATACCGGCGCCTTCAGAATTAGCACTGAGTAGTTTGTTCATGACAGACCAGGAAACGCAGATTTAATTTTACCTCTGTTCCTGAAATAGTGGGTGGCCAATTTGGGAAATTGATACTGTTCTCATAAATTATTTGGAAATTTCCACGTCCAACAATGATTTTTTTTTCAAAGATTTATTTTATTTTCATTGGAAAGGCGGATATACAGAGAGGAGGAGAGACAGAGAGGAAGATCTTCCGTCCGATGATTCACTCCCCAAGTGAGCACAACAGCCGGTGCTGTGCCGATCCGAAGCCAGGAGCCTCTTCCGGGTCTCCCACGTGGGTGCAGGGTCCCAAAGCTTTAGGCCATCCTCCATTGCTTTCCCAGGCCACAGGCAGGGAGCTGGATGGGAAGTGGAGCAGCCGGGATTAGAACCTGCGCCCATATGGGCTCTTGGTGCGTTCAAGGCGAGGACTTTAGCCGCTGGGCCACCGCGCCGGGCCCTCAAAGCAATCCTGAAAAAAATGTAAAGAGGAATTTATAGTTGTAAAGAATATACTGTATTGTATTGTATTTTATATAATAGCTTATTATAAACACATATATTTACCTAAAATGTGGAGTTAACAAAGAGAAAGATTTTCCATCATCTGGTTTACTCCCCAAGTGGCTGGGACAGCTTTTAGTGAGTTGATCTGAAGCCAGGAGCCAGGGGCTTCTTCTGGGTGTCTCATGTAGGTGCGGCAACCCAAGGACTTGAGCCATCCTCTTTTGTTTCCTAGGCCACAAGTAGGGAGCTGCTTGGGAAGCAGGCTGCTGGGATTAGAACCGGCGATTATATGGGATGCCAGGGCCACAAGCGGAAGATTGCCCTGCTATGTCACAACACCAGCCTGGGTGTTTTTGTTTTTTTGATTTATTTATTTTACTTAAAGTCAGAGTTAGAGGGCAGGGGAGCGACAGAAAGAGAGAAGGATGTTCTGTCTGCTGGTTCTCCAGCATCCCAGCTTATGCAGACTGATTGATTGAGGGACCGAGGACACTGTCCACACCTTGCAGACTGGCTTTGTAACGGAGCCAAACCCCAAACCAGAGGGGACAAGGACACCAAAAGCCGCTAGCAAACCCAGGATCGCTCACTGGCTCACGGCTTGAACTTGCCTCTGGCGAATCCATCGTGTCCCCTTAGCAAGCTTTGTAAACTGCTTAGTAACTGGTACGCCTGTTTGCATCGCTTTATAAATTACCTGTGGTTATCTTCATTTTTTTTTTTTAAGATTTATTTATTTTATTGGAAAGGCAGATGTACAGAGAGGAGAGACAGAGAGGAAGATCTTCCATCCGATGATTTCACTCCCCAAGCGGCTGCAATGATTGGTGCTGCACCGATCTGAGCCAGGAGCCAGGAACTTCTTTCCGGGTCTCCCATGAGTGTGCAGGGTGCCAAAGCTTTGGGCTGTCCTCTACTGCTTTCCCAGGCTACAAGCAGGGAGCTGCATATGAACCGGCGACCGTATGGGATCCCAGTGCATTCAAGGCGATTTCTTTAGCCACTAGGCTACCGTTCAGGGTCCCCTGTTGAGTTTGTTTTTCTTTTTTTTTTTTTAAGATTTATTTATTTTTATTGGAAAGGCGAATATACAGAGAGGAGGAGAGACAGAGAGAAAGATCTTCCATCCAATGATTCACACTCCAAGTGATTGCAGTGGCCGGTTCTGTACCGATTCAAAGCCAGCACCCAGGAGCTCTTCCAGGTCTCCCACGCAGGTGCAGGGTCCCAAGGCAGTGGGCCGTCCTCGACTGCTTTCCTAGGCCACAAGCAGGGAGCTGGATGGGAAGCAGGGCTGCTGGGATTAGAACTAGCACCCATATGGGATCCTGGCACATTCAAGGCGAGGACTTTAACCACTACGCAATTGCCCAGTCCCAGAGGACTTTTAATCATAAATTCTTGCTCCCTGCTTGTGCCAGAACTAGAGCAAGAATGGAACTGTGTTTGTGGAGTTTGGCTGTGTCTCCATGGTCTGGTCATTCCCATTTGCCTGGGGCCTGGGGCAACACGTAGTGGGTGCTTTACAGGTGGACCTGTTTCCTTACTCTTCTGATGCAGTTGTGGAGAGCTGGCGTGGAGATCCTGCTGTTGAGTGGGACCAAAGTGCCTCATCCCTAAGCGGCTCTACCTGTTTCCCCGCAGAAGCTGCTCTTCTGCCCCGTGAAGGAGGCTCTGGAGGTGGACTGGAGCAGCGAGAAGGCCAAGGCCGCTCTGAAGCGCACGGCTCCCGACTACTTTCTCCTGCAAGGTGAGGCCACCAAGGGCCGTGGACTGGGGGTATGCTCAGTCAGGGTCTCCCCCTCAGTCGTTCTCAGGGACCCCGCCGAGCTCTGCTTCCCCGGCCCCCTGAAGTTGAGCCTGAGAGAGACAGACATATGTCGCTGTCACACTGCAAGCAGTTCCCCCGCCAAGTTCACCTGTGTAGACCTCTCCTCTGGCCTCCACACCAGCCTCTCCTCTGCAGGCGTTCCCACCCTCTCGGTGTGAATGAGCTGCTTCTCTGTGTGACCTAAATGTTACCTGGAGCTGTTTGCTGAGGCTCTGCTTGGCAGTGTTCTTCCTCTGTGCCTGGCACTTCTGTCTGTTTAGAAGATGGATAATTACAGGCACTCTGTATTGTCACAGTTTGTTGGGGTGCGTACTAGTGTGATCCCTATTTTACAAACAGGGAAACTGAGGCACTCAAAGTTACTTATGTTCTGACAGATGCACAGCAGCCAATGTGCAAATAATACTGATTTGTGAATAAGTATAAAAATAACCTTTTATTGTAGAAAATATGAGAAAAGTGCAGAGAGACAAAAAAAATCACCGTGTTTTTCTGTTTTGGGGCATGCTTCCCAGCTCTTTCTCGTGTCCCCGTACCTGTAGCGTGGCACTTTTAGCGGAGATACCTCCCCGGAACGTGGGGGCTCAGGCCACGCCCTGGCCTTCCTGCAGCTTGGGGAAGTGCCAGGAGATCAGAGGTTTGCTCTGTGTGTCTCTAGTTAAATAAACACGGAGATGTACAAATCATTTTTTGTCCCATGTGGGCAGTCTTCATCTTCTCTCGGCACGGCTCTATCCCTGCTGCTGTTCCCTTGTAGATGCCACGAGTGATGCCCCTACCCGCCCTCAGGATCGCTAATGGCAGTGTAGGAGGCAGAGCGAGAGGGCGCCCTCTGCTTCACTCACCCAGTGTCTGTCCCAGGCAAGGCAGTACTAGGACCAAAAGTGGGCCTCGGGGACTCACTTGTGTCTCGCGGGTGACAAACCTAGCGACTTCATCCATCCCTGCTGCCTCTGAACATCCACATCACTGGGAAGTGAGGAAAGCCTGAGCCAGGACTCGAACCCAAGTACTCCAGTGTGGATGTGGGCGTCTTGCCTGCTTGGCCAAATGTCTGTTCTATGCTATGTATGCTGATTCAAAGGAAGTGTGTAACACCTGCCAGACTGCAGGTTCATGGTACCTGTAAGCAAAGCGTTTTGCGTGCTGCTGAGTGGTGCTGTCAGGGTAGGGCTCAGGAGCCTGGGCCGGGCTTCTGGAGGCCGTGTGTCCGTTGGTTTAGGAATAACTGAAGAGGTGGTGCCCGAGGGAGTGTGTTGGGCAGGAGTTGGCAGCGCCTGCTGAGTTGGGGTCATGGAGCATACCATGCCTGTGCCTTGGAGAGAAGCTGGTCACCCAGGCCCGCTGCCACCTGTCGCCCGCCGAAGATGCAGGGGGCTGGATGGCCCTCTGAGACGGAGCAGTCGCTTTAGGATTACGGCTCTCGTAACGACCATGACACGTGGCTGTGCAGACTAGCAACTGTGGAATTACAGTGGATTTGGCTTTTACTTTATTTATGTTTTGAGGTGGGTGCTCCTGAGCCATCGTCTTCCATTCCCCAGCCTTGGAGTGCACTCCGGAAGTGGCACAGGCCGGGCACCATCACGGCATGGACTTCTGCTGAGGCTTGGGTGATCTGTGTGGAACGTGTCTGGGAGTTGGTGCTGTCTGCTTAAAGTTCAAGGGACTTCAGCGGCTATGTCTACCTTGCAACTGTAAAATATATATTTTTTTCAATATATATGAATTCATTTGGGAGAAATACCTTCCATTTGCTAGATTACACCCAATACAGCCAAGTGTATGTAACAGCTGGGATTGGTTCAGGCTGGAGGAACGCAAATCCGGCTCACATTTGTGGGTAGTGAGGCCCTGGCAAGTGGGGCTGCCACCTGCTGCCTGCCGGGGCGTGCAGCAGCAGGACATGGGCCTGCGGAGTGCAGCTGAAACTTGAACCCATGGCCCTAGACTGAGAAAAGAGGCGACTCCACACATTGTCCAGGCCAGGAATGGCCGGTGACATGCTTCTCATTCTTCCTCCACTCACCCCCTGGATCAGTGGCTGGAGGAATGCTCACCCCTGCCAGGCCTGTGGGAGGCGGGTGCCTGGTGACCTGGGGGCCCTCGAGGAGATGCTGCTGCAGGCCCTCTCCGATGCGGCAGGCCAAATGAACCCACTTGCCAGCTTTTATTTGTTTTTTTTTAAAGATTTATTTTTATCATTTTTTCATTGGAAAGGCGGATATACAGAGAGGAGAGACAGAGAGGAAGATCTTCCGTCCGATGATTCACTCCCCAAGTGAGCACAACAGCCGGTGCTGTGCCGATCCGAAGCCAGGAGCCTCTTCTGGGTCTCCCACGTGGGTGCAGGGTCCCAAAGCTTTGGGCCGTCCTCCATTGCTTTCCCAGGCCACAGGCAGGGAGCTGGAAGGGAAGCGGGGCTGCCGGGATTAGAACCGGCGCCCATATGGGATCCCGGGCGTGCAAGGCGCAAGGCGAGGACCTTTAACCACTTGCGCCACCGCGCCGGGCCCGCCAGCTTTTATTTGAAAGGCAGAGTTAGGAGAGACACAAAGACATTCTCCGTCCTCTGGTTACTCCTCAGCTGAAACAGCCAGGGCTGGGCAAGCTGGAGCCAGGAGGTTCTTCTGGGTCTCTCACATGGGTGCAGGGTCCCAAGGCTTTGGGCTGTCTTCGACTGCTTTCCCAGGCCACAAGCAGGGAGCTGGATGGGAAGTGGAGCTGCCTGGATTAGAACTCGTGTTCATAGGAGATCCCAGGCTTGTAAGGTGAGGACTTTAGCTGCTAAGCTATCATGCTGGGCCCAGAAGTGAATATTTTTAAAAATATTTTATTTATTTGAGAGGCAAAGAGACAAAAGCAGAGAGAAAGAGCCTCCATCTACTGGTTCACTTCCTAAAAGGCCACAATGGCTGGTCTGGGCCAGGCTCGAACCCGTGGCTTCTTCTGGATTTCCCACATAGGTGCAAGGACCTAAGGACTGGGCCGTCCTCCAATCCTTTCCCTGGTATATCAGCAGGGAGCTGAATCAACACCCAAGTGGGATTCCAGGGCTGCAGGCAGCAGCTTAACTCACTGTGCCACTTTGCCATCCCAGTGAATGAGTAGTCTGTGCTACTGAGGGAGTTGTTGTTGTCTGGTCGTTTGTTGGGCTCTGCCGTGGCTCTGGCTGCCTGCGGCCTCTGGCTGCCTCCTCCTAACCTCGGACCAGCCTCGGACTGTTGCATCCCCCTCCCCCCAGGCCTGGCCCTCCTTGCACCTAGGCGTTTCCTAGTGCTTCGTGTGTGTGAGCTTGCCGTGCTGAGTGGTCAGTGTCCCGTATCCCTAGTGAGACAGTGGCCAGGCTGGACACTTCCGTCGCCGTTTGGCGCTGTCTTGAGAGCCGTCCTCGCTGTCTGTGGGCAGAAGGTGGCAAAACATGAAGCGTGAGCTGGTTTCCTGTGGCAGAAGCTTGTCTTTGATTGGTTCTTTGTTGAGGTTACTGTGAGTTTATCATAACAGGAGTGCTAAAAGTACCTTGTCTCAGCCCCTCGGCGCACGCCCCACATCAGGGACCCTGGATGGGTGGGAGATGGGTGGGGCTTCTCCCTTTATCTCCCCCTTTACTCCACGTACATGAAAAAAGTGTGGAAATAATAGTTTTACCCACTGTCCTGTAGCCCTTGAACCTTTTTGCCCTAATTAACTATGTAAAGATAGTTAAAAATAAAGATTGTCAAAAAGAAAAATTCATAAGAAAAAAAAAGAATGCCTTGTCTCCTATGGGCCCAGCAGCCACTCCGGGACCAGAGCAGGAGCAGGCAGGTTGCGTCCAGGCCCGGGAGACGTGGGCTGCAGCTCCAGGAGGGGTCGCTCGGCAGAGATGCCTGCCGGTCGTGGCCTTGTCCACCTCTGCTGGTGAGTGTGGAAAAGTCCCCAGGCCTCCTTGGAGGAAGGCGAATCCAGCTGCGACTGCTCTGGGCCAGGTCCCGAGCCGAGGATGGTCAGGAAAGTGCAGGTGCCTCATTCCAGTGGGAAGTGCAAGCTGGCTGTATTGGGAATAGAGTCAGAGGCTGAATACTCACATCACATGCGCCAGGATCCCATGGGGGCACCGGTTCATATCCCGGCAGCTCCACTTCCCATCCAGCTCCCTGCTTGTGGCCTGGGAAAGCAGTTGAGGCTGGGACCCTGCATGGGAGACCTAGAGGAAGTTCCTGGCTCCTGACTTCATTTTGACTCTGCTCTAGCTGTTGTGGCCTCTTGGGGAGTGAACCATCGGATGGAAGATCTTCCTCTCTGTTTCTCCTCCCCTCTATACATCAGACTTTCCAATAAAAATAAATAAATCTTTTATTAAAAATGTGTTTTTCTTTGGGCCTGGCACAATAGCCTAGTGGCTAAATTCTTGCTTTGGAACCAACGGAATCCCATATGTATGCCAGTTCATATGCCAGCTGCTCCACTTCCCTCTACCCCTGCTTGTGACCTGGAAAAGCAGTAGAGGACTGTCCAAGGCCAGGTGGCCACAGCGGCTGGAACTGAGCCAGTTTGAAGCCAGAAGCCAGGAACTTCCTCCAGGTCTCCCACACCGGTGCAGGGTCCCAAGGCTTTGGGCCATCCTCCACTGCTTTCCCTACAGGGAGCTGGATGGGAAATGAGGCCACCAGGATTAGAACCGGTGCCCATATGGGATCCTGGTATGGTCAGTGTGAGGACTGTAGCTGCTAGGCCACCATGCCGGGGCTGAGGTTGATTTTTTTGATGCTGTGGAAGACTGCTTCCAGCGGAGGTCCGCCTGCTTCCCCGTAGGAGGTCCGCCTGCTCCCTCTGCTCCAGGACGGCTTTGTGGCGTCGTGTTTCTGGGCCCAGCTGGATTTGGTGAGGAGCTCCCTTGAGCTGAGGCTCTTGGCCATCTGGACCATCCACAGCTGCTG